TTTAACAGGAAATACATTTGTTATAAATAAGAGAGAAACTTTGTTTTATATTGGGGTTGGTATTAATTAAAAAATTCCACATTTCACATAACATAATCTTGTAATTCATTTTGAATTGTTTGTTTGAATCTTCCCATTGTTCTTTAGGACTGCAATTGATCAGTCTCTTATTGACAAATGTGCATCTTGTACGGATTAACTCAATATAGCCTTAATTCACAAGCATTATAAGCAAAGATGGATGATGGCTAGCAATGGAATCTATGACTTAATAGCTAAGTAGATAACACGATGGCATTTGAAGCGAATGGTACTGGGTTCGAGTCCTAAAATGAACATTAACTCCAGGATACAGCTACATTCAACTGACGAGTCGTAAAGAAGACAAAACACTCTTATTGAATTCCACTATTAACCATCATCCATCTTTGTTTATAATCTTTAAAGCTTAAAATATTTTATTTTAAAACCTACTCATTATTGTAAAAGTACAACAGTTTAATTTCCATTTTACAAAAACAATGAAAGTTGAATAATTGAACATGTACTATATTAAAAACAAAAGGAATCATTCGCTTTGATCACACGGATTATTGATTATTATTATTATTATAATAAAACAAGAATTAATTAGACAAAAATTTCATTTTTCAATGTAGACATCAATATAATTTAAATGACATTGAATAATTAGTAAACTATTGAAATGAATATAAAGTACAACATAGTAAATTAATATAAAGAAAACCTTGTGATTGACCAATGATCAATTTTATATGATTGATTGATCATGATAATGAGATCAAACTTTTCAGATTTGTTCTTTTTCTTTTTTTTTTCTTTTTTTTCTTTCTCTTTTTGTTTTGCTTTAAATACAGTGCCAAATGATACTTTCAATGAATAGTGTGTTTAAAAGTATATCTGTTGGGTTAAAAAAAAAATTGTGTGTTGAAAATATTATTATAGTGTAACTTGAAATGATGTTTGTTAAGAATATAATATAATATATAATATTCATAAAACCCTTTTTTAATTAGGTTATAAATTGTGGGCTATGTGCCCTGTTAATGTATAGCGTAATGATATCGGACCAGTGACTCATAAACCTGTACGAGCAGTCTTGAGTCCTAATTGGTCCTGTTATTTTCCGCCTAACTCAGCCAGTTAAGTCCAGAATACCAATCTGAGCATTTACGATATGAATCACATATTTCAAACATATTGAGTTTAAATACAAACCAAATAGATCACATCGTACCATAAAATAGAAAATAACATTTGTACAAGATCTAGCTAAAAGTGGCTGTGAATGAGGGAGGTTGGTGATTAATAAACAGAAAATAATTCAAGAATGGAAAATCGTATGATAACAGTTGATAGGTTAAAATAAAGCTTATAATAAGAGAGACATGAATATGAATAATTTAGTTAATTAACAATTATACGATAAAAATATACGTATAGTATTAGTTCATAAATGGATCCCACAAGTTACCATTCATTATGCTTATCGCCACATAACAGATTATAATAATCATATATTTACTAGTGACGGTCTCTAAGAGGTATTTCCTAAAGTTCTAGTGAGAAGCAGTGACCAGTGGTGTTCAACCGGGTTTGTGGTGAGATAGTAACTCATTGAAGACAATGATGGATGGTGGCGCAACTTCGTGAATTGGTTTAAGTTAGACATCAACACCGTTGGATTCCAAACAGCTCAGTAGTTTAGAGGTTAAGTGTTCGCGCGCGAGACTGATAGGTTTTGGGTTCGAATCTTGCGAGATAAGATCGTGTATGCACATTGCTTAGGAGTCCCACAATAGGACGAAACGACTGTCTAGTACTTCCAGATTTTTCCTGATGATCCAGCTTCAATTGACTCATGAATTTAATAATTAAATTACTATAATATCCACAAAACACCTCTCTAATGAGATTAGGTTCTTATGTAAAAAGAATCTCACTTGTAAACATAAGATAATTTTAACAAAACTGAAGTTATAATTATTAACATTTATGATGATATCAACTGGGAATATAATTTGACAATTAAAATCATCAGTAAGAGTGGAAATATGCATTGGCTGTAAAAATTCATGTAATAGCTTCTCTAAGATGGTATAATAAAATTAACCAAACATTCTACTTATGAATGATATATGTATCATTTTTTTAGAATGAGCTTGTCCTAGTTTCTGTTATAAATAAACTATTTAATACATGAATAGAGTGGAATCCTTTAACCAATTATCTTCAATGTAAGATCATTATGATACCATAAGCCATATTGTAACTTAAGACAAATAAAAATTGGTTAATAATCAGAATTAGGGAATTTGATATTTGTTATTACAAATCGATTAAGTCATGTATGACTAAAATATATACCAATTTATAAGTTATGGATGTATAGACCAATTACGAAAATAAAATAGGTTGATCTAGATCTCACTAGAAAACCCTATTGTCTTCATGAGGAAGCTATCGTGATTTTAAACAATGTAAGTTAGATCTATTTATTGCTTAACTAAACCTTTGTAACAAAACATTAATCATCCATCGTTTCTACTTTCTTTGAAATGATTATATTTTAAGATGATATAAGTAGTATGTAATGAGTAGTGTTATATTATGTTACTCTATATTAAGATATAAATTCTGTTCATAAATTAACGTTTAAATAAATATAACTCTTTGAAATTTTAAATTTACTTTGCATTCAAACTCTTAAGTACACAGATAAAAACATTATAGTTTCATCTTGTATAACGCGTTAGGTAAACATTTAATTTACATAGTGATTTTTATTATCAAGCGATGTTAGTGTAATAGCTTACAAAATTTCAAATGGAATGTATAAACCATAAAATTTACGGAAGATATCAGTAACTGATTTTATTAATCATATAGAATGTCGTCAAAACAAAAGAAATCTGTGATTTAAATTATCTGAATAACCTCGGTTGAACTTTGAGTGTTTTAGCGTAAGTTTGCTTATGAATTCTGTGACTGTGAGATTCATTTTGTATGTTTTTGTATAAATGTATGTAAAAGTCCTTACGCGTGTGGGACGGTAACTCGTTATCTTCCTTTAAATGCAGAGTTAAAGGTTTTCGTATGTTTATCTTTGTATATTCACTACGATTTTGATTTCCATGAGATTCACATGATCGATTTTGCTCTTATTTGATAGAAATATGTGTTATTGTTAAGGATTGTGATCATTCATTCTCTGAAGTAAACTAATATATTCACTATACATGTTTCCTTTCCTAAAAGGATCATTGTTTGGTCATAGATAAATTTGACTGAATCAACCTCTTTTTGAGTAACTCATTGGACCATATAGCCTAGTGGTGATATTCGTTCGGGTATTTATGTACTTCATCATTATGATACGTATAATTGAAACTGTATCCAATACAGCCATTCGAATTCAAATTTCTCTGTAGGAAGAGACGAGTATCTAACTTTTCCCTGGAGGCTATAATGAATCTAAACAACATCAATTTGAATATTTCAGTAATTGGTTAATTTAATTTATACAAGCAATATACGAATGATGATTTTAAGTGTAACGCAAATAGAGAATGAATTAACACTATATAATCTCAAAGAATATAGTTTAAATGAAGTGAAGTTTAGAGTTATGTTAATATCAAGGATTTCAATATGTAATTCCTTTTAGCCAATATAATTATTTAGTGATTTACGTTCGATTTTTAATACCAACCTAATTTGCTTAAATTGTTATCAACAGTTAAATTCTGCATATTTTCACCTCAGTGTCTTTTCAGTTGCTACGTGATTAATTTACTTTCACACTTTTCATTCACAACACCTCACATATTTGTACGTAGTTTTCATTACCTAATGATATCTAGTAGAGTATAATAAAAACCAAGGGGGTGGGGTGGATAACTGCCTACATATTGATAAGTTCTAATGACATAGAGGTTTGTCATCTTCATAGTCAACAGAAAAAATTCATGGTCAATGGTTACCTCAATGAAGATAATGTCAGTGAAACAAAAAGTTAGGATCTAATAGTCTAGATTTTTGTAAGTTTTATTCTATTCACAATACATCTCACTAGAAAGTAGCTGTTTCATTTCTGAAGTGATTTGGCTTAACACATCACCCTTTATTAATAATGCAAGTTAAAATATTTTAATAGACTAGTTTATATCTATGATATTTATAAATACAATTCTATGAATCAATTCAGTCGTAATAATACTTTAGTTATAATGTCAATACAAATTAAATAAACTTTTTCTAGTGTCTATTTACGCTGTAAAAACGATAAACCTATTCATCCACATTTAGCTTGAGTATCCATATAATGATTTTAATACTGAGTATTATTGTATTTTAACTAAACAGTATAGTTTTTGCAAAGATTTTCAGCTATTTACCATTTGTTTTCCTGAAAATGTCACCAAATGATTACTGATTTATAAATATGAGCTTGTTGTTGTTAATTAGGATTGCAAGTAATTCGTTTTTGTTGTCATTTACATATCTTGAGCAGACACATAGCTATGGGATCTAGAACTCACATCTCGTAATATTTGGTACTCATCAAATGAATGTAATATCATCTAAATTTTAATGTTTGCACTTAAAACGAAAAGAAATTCTTAGATTCCACAGTAAGACATGTACTTAGACCTGATAATTCATTTATTTTTGGTAAGTTGGAAACAAAACATTTAAGATGAAGAATATATGCATATTGATCCACATATGACAGAAATCAAGGATTTCATTATGATATCTTCAACATTAACGGTTAATTACTTATATATACATGTGGTCAAATGATAATGATTGGCTAATTTAATTAACCAATCAGAAATAAGTCAACAAGCTGACCAATGAAAACGGAGATACCAAATGGACACGTGGCTATTGTTCACAGCTGTAGTTGATTTAATTAGTTACTTTTCTATTATATATAACATTTAAATAAATTTAGATGATTAATTTATTTGGAATTATCTTTCTTTTTAGAAGAATATTTACACTTTAGAACAGTATGAAAGATTGGAATAAACATATTTAAGTAAATAGTGTTACAAATAATATGACTATTATTGATTGAAATGTATATTAATAGATGTTTAATCAATGTAATTGTTATAACACTGTTAAGTGTAAATGCTCAAAATGAATTGAATCAAATTGATGCACCTACTATTATTGATAGTTTAACATTCCCATTAATAATAGATGATTTAGATGTAGAAAATGAACAATTAAAGTTTCCTATGAAAGAACATCAAATAACACCAAAAAATGAATATCATACAGAACCAATTTCTGTCAAAAGAAGAGATTCCAATCAATCAATTTATAAATCTAAACAATTTGACAAATCAACTGTTGGAAATGAATTGAATTATTCAGTTTTTGATGTTGGTGAATCATTATGTCCAGATGTTTATTGTTTTGCAAAACGTTTATCTCCTTCAGATGAATTAACATTTGATTGTAAAAGTCAATCGTTTGAAGTAACTAATGAAGACACAATGATTGATTGCCATTATTGGCATGTACCATCACCAGGTGCAGATTCTAATCAACAGCATCAATCTAAACAACATGGAAAAGGGTATGATTTACGCATTGTGTTAAAACCATCTACAGTAAGCGCTGATGATTTATCTTCAAAGTCAAATAGTGCTTCAAGATTACGAATTAGTCATTTAAAACCAGGAGTATTAAATTGGATTATTGAAACAGTTCGACTAAGTTTGAAAATGCCTTTAAGTCCTGTTCATTTGACAATTTCATTTATTTATTTCAAACGTCTTGGACGAGATGATTTAGGCAATCTAGCAACAAAGTCACGTGTGACACACTTAAGTTTATGGAACCCTTTCAATTGGGATGAAGATAGTTTCATACCTATTACAAATAAAACATCAAATAATGCAGGTTATTCGGTTGAAAGTCCGTCTTATTTTCGTCTTTCTTTGTTTTGTGATTATGAAAATCAAAACCCTTCGTTTAGACGTTTATGGTTCCCATGGAAAAGTTGGCAACTACGTCTTACGCACTGTCCCGATCTCTATATTTGTTGGCAATGGTACAGTAAATATCCTATTTGTGATGTAAAACAATCGATTAATAACCCTGAGAAACTGTTGAAGTCATTTATGCCATCTTATTTGATCTCACCTAAGTCATTAATCAATTCACACCAGTCAATAAAACAAGAGACTGGTATGCAAATATTATATGATAACCAATGTTTACGCAATCCCAATCAAACAAATCTTATTAGAGATTTGAAAATAAACTATCCTGGTCAATGTTTACAATCAGATAATGATAAACCAATAAGAGATATTCATGTAAGTAAGACTACTTTACAACAGACAATAGAAATACAAAATACAACTCATTCAATGAATATAATACCTACAACTATGAACACAACAACAACAACAACAACAGTAAATAATATTCCTAGAACGTCGTTAACGACTACAACTATTACCACACCATTAATGACGACATCTATACGTTCCACTATTACTTCACTATCTACGACTTCTACTTCTACTACTTCTACCACAACTACTACTACTTCTACTACTTCTACCACTACTATTCCTCCTAAGGAAAATCAAACAGATTTCATGATAAAATTAAACAAAACTACAAATCTCTTAAAATCAATATTAAAAATAAATACTACAAAAATGTATCCAATTGATAATTCAATGAATCAATCAATTATTTGGTCACCTAAACATGAAGATATTACATTTATAGATCAAAAATCAAATTTTAATAAAACAATGTCGATTATATTAAATCAAAATAAAAATGATCTATCAACTGAATATTTAACAAATGGATTAATTTTATTAGCTATATTAAATATTATATTAATTATTTGTTTTATTATATTAATATTATGGATTCGAAAAAGAATACAAAAAAATTCAAAAAATAAATTTATCAATTCACATGATTTTTATCAAGATAATTATTATACAAGAATCAATATGATTGGTAGTCATAGTAACTATACACCAAATAATCATTATCCATTATTAATATCAAATAAATCTGGTTCATATTTATTTGAATCACAATTTAAATTAAATCAACGTCATCATTCATTTCCTAATAATTCTTTATTAAATTCAAAAGATTTTAATACATTTTTACCAATATCTACTTATAAAACTACTTATAATAGATATAATAATAATAATAATCATAGTGAACAATGTTTATTAGGTCGATCAATATCGTATTCAAGTAGTATGTGGAATGGATCTTTAAAGAATGGCTTAAACAATAATAATAATAATAATAATAATAATGGTAATGGTTGTCATAATAAAAGAGTACCGTTAGCTAATAGATTGAATATACAAAATAGTAAACATCATTTAAATAATTCATTAAATGGTCTTTCAAATCAATCAATACAACAACAAATATCATTAACACCATATATCAATCGAAAAAATTCTCAATTAATCAATCTTTCATTACCATATCATTATAAAGAAATAAAGAAATATTCTTCACAAACATATATTCCACCATACATTTCATCATTATCATCATCTTCATCAACTGTTGAGAATATAACAGAAAAAAATAATGAAGAAAAAGAAAAAGAATATAAATATATTTCTAATTCAAGAAATCGTCTTACTAATGGACAATTATCATTAACACCATTAAATAAAATAAAAAAATCACCAGTTATTAATAATCGTAAACATAAAAGAAAATTAAGGAATGGTAGACCACCATTAGCTTGTTCTGTCAGAAAACCGCATACATTAATTATTGAAGATAATAATCAATGGACAGAAAATTTTAAAACTTCATTACATGAATTATAATGAATGATGTTTGTAGATAATATTGTATATATTCATATATCTGAATATATAAGGTAAGACTAATGTCGTTATTTGAATGTGTTCAATATGTATTAATGAATTATAATTTGATGTATGCGGCTGTAACTGATCAGTGTCTTGTTGATATATGTGCATATTGTGTGGATTGCCTTGATATCACTTTAAGTCACAATGTTTATAAGTAAAGATGGATAGTGGTTAGTAGTGGAATCCAGTTTGACATGCGTTTTGTCCTATTTGGGACTCGTCAGGTGAATGGATTTTCATCTCAAGGTTGATGTTTACTCCCGAAACATCAACTCTGGGATACAGGTACATCTAACTGACGAGTTTCAAGTAAGGTGAAATGTGCTTCCTGTATTTTAATGTTAGCCATCATCCATTTTTGCTTATAATCATTTATACGTTACTTTATTTACGTCTGTTACTCACAATGGAGCATAGGCAGCCGACCAGAATTCTCCAACGCACTCTGTCCTGAGCCTTACTTTCTACTTTTATCCAATTGTTCTTCATTCTTCTTATGTCTCTCTTCATTTCTCGACATAATGTGTTCAGTCTTCCTCTTCTCCTTTGGCCTTGAAGATTCCAAGTGAGGGCTTGTCTTGGGACGCAGTCCGGTGCTTTCCTCAATGTGTTTCCTATCCACTTCCAGCACTTCACACTGATTTCTCACTCCACAGGAATCTGGTTTGTTATCTCCCACAGTAGGTTGTTGCTGATAGTGTCTGGCCAACGGATCTGAATTATTTTGCGTAGACAACTCTTAATAAACACTTGTATCTTCTGGATGATGACTTTCGTAGTTCTTCAGGTTTCTTCCCCGTACAGTAGAACTGTCTTCACATTTGAATTGAAAATTCTGACTTTGTTGTTGGTTTCCAATTGTTTTGAGTTCCAGATGTTCTTCAATTGTGAATATGCTGTTCTTGCTTTGCCGATCCGTGACTTTACGTCTGCATCAGATCCACTGTGTTCATCAACCATGCTGCCCAGTTATGTTGCTTATCCAAGCCTATAATGATTTATAGTTTCGTTTAAATATAGCACAGGAAGCCATAATATGATATTTAACACAAACAGCATGAGTAATGTCGTGAATTTTAGATTTTCAGTCGCAACTAGAAACAACGATCAATGAAGATCTGAGTAATTCTCTTGTACCATCATTTACTTTGATGTTATGTAACATGGATTCGAATTCCTTAAGGCGAAAATGTTTCATTGGGAACATAAGTGTCAATCAGACAGTAACCAAGTTTTAAAACTTCTGCTGATTACTTTCAAGCAATTAATGTTGGTGTATAATAGTCTTGTTGAAAAGAATTATGAAGTTATTATCAGTTATTTGAAAAAATTGCATATCAAATTGTTATAAGCTTAATCTCACTTAATCTCATATTTTTAAAGATTATAATAATAAACCCTAGAATATGTCTTTATATGTATGACAGTAAATGCAATGTCCATGAGCTAGTATGTATTTACAAATATTGCATTTTCTGTGCTATGTATAGGCTGATTTCCCACATCTAAGGATAATTAATGAGAAAGGTACAAAGTGCGAACTTCTTATTGTAAGAGTTATATTATTCAAATTAGCTGCATTTATGAGTCCATCTAAATTAAACCACCATTGAAAGTCTGGAAGCATTAGACGGCCGTTTCGTCATAGTATAGGACTCTTCAGCAATGCATATCCATAAGCCTGCACGTCGGAATCAGACCGAAAACCTTTGGTCTTTCTCAAGAACGCTTAACCTCTAGACTACTGAGCCAGTACTTTAAAGGGTTGCGCAAGATCATGGATCAATTGAAGTTAGATGTTAACATTATTGGATACCGGCTCAGTAGTCTAGGGATAAAGTATTCGCACGCGAAACCGAAGGTCCTTGGTTCGATTCTCACGTGCAGGCTTATGGATATGCATCGCTGAAGAGTCCAATACTATAACTTAACGCCCGTTTAGTGTTTCCAAGCTTCCAATGACAGTCTAGCATTATCTGTTTGTTTAGAATAGTTTATCTTGAATAAGGTTACTTGCTTATTACTAACAATCAGCGACTTTATAGATCAATATTACGTCTTCTTCTTATTATTATTATTAGAAAATGTAGTCTAGTATGTGCATACACCTGTAAAATCCCTACTTATTGGGGATATACAAAGAAATTCGTCTTCTTTGTTCATTGGTTAATAAGTTGGAAAAATCATTTAATAAATCTCATTTATTTTAAATATGAATTCAAATTGTAAAAGATTAGAATATTTACTTATTGTGCCTTAATGAGATTAAATTTTAACTTACTCTATTATACGTGTATGGGAGTTACTATGGGTTACGTAAGTTAAATAAAGAAAAATAGCATTAATCTTTAATCTGGTTGAAAGGGATTTTTATACATTTGTTTGCTTTGATAATAGATATACTAAGAATTGATATCAGTTGCAGAATATTTGATGCATTGTGTAATGAACTAGTATATAGTAAAAGCTTAAGATTTTTCATTAATGGATAGACACATCGTACAGAAGATTAAAAGATAAACCCGTAAGTGTTGAAGGGAGAAAATAAGTCAGATTTCAGTAATTTGTATTTTATGATTTAATTCAGTTTACAGTCAAATAATAATCCTTAAATAATGTCATCTATGGGTAGCGGCTTCTTTTCTAATAAGTTTGTATTTACAGTGTAATAGATGAGGCAAATTTAATAACAATCACTAATCAATAGGAGTAGGTTCAATTGTTGCATAAAACTAAAGTGAGGAAAACCAATTTGTATCTATCAGCGTAAATAGCATACACCAGAGTTCTTGTTTACTACATTTGACGTCACTGCCTAAAGAGAGGTGGAAAGAAGGGAATTCTGAGGAAGCCACTGCAGGGCCAGGAGAGGAGTCGTCAATTGGTACGGTCTGACCCAGGAAGGTGAAGTCGAGTGAAGTGTTGGATGTAGTATTCGCTGTCGATAAGAGGAAGATGTAGGATGTCTCGGGTGCTGGGTAAACATTGGATTTAGGTGACCTGGTAGGTTGACAGAGGTACAGATGTCAGCACGCTGGTGAACTTCACATTTCGACGGGGAACATGGCATAGACTGCGGTAAAGAAGAAAGTAACACATCGAGAAAAACAAATTCAGGAGCGATCGTTTAAAGATGGGGTGAGTATGTTATATGCTATTTATGCTGACAGATATAAATTGCTTTACCCCATATGAGTTCTTGTTCACTACAAAACGAATAATATATTTATACAAAGCAGAGAATCAAAACATTTATAGAACTTTATAAATATTTACCATACTCACTATTCCTCGAAATGATTTCCTATTTATCTAATATTCCCAAATACATATTAACAGTCTCTTTAAGACAAACAATTTTTAGTCATATAAGAAGCAAAAATAAGTTTAGATCTACACCTGATGAATATCACTAATTAGAGTTCTTTCAGAGCAATAACTTACTAAGGCAATTTAACATAAGTTACTGGAATCTATAAGCAAAATGTAATGTAAAATGTGACAGTACAGAACTAACAAGCAATTGAACACTTTTATACATTTTCATTAATTGAATTATTGGTGGGACTATAATTTATGGACGACCCTTGAGCGATGCTAGGTTGACCTTGAGAGTATCCATTTAATATCTAGGACCAAATGACGGTTATAAATTAGTGTGAGGAATTCAAATTATAATTTACAGTTAATGATTAAGGTTAAGAATTAGATTTATGATTTTTATCACGAACTGAAATCAGCTATAATGCCAAAACTCTATTCAGCCAAATGGTTGAGTGAATTTCGCGCCAATATCCGAGACCTGTTATTCTTATACCTGATTGGTTCGTCCATAAATTATAGTCTTGCTGAATGAATTTATGAAATCAATCAATCAATCATAATTAACTGACTGATTGTATTTTTCATGAAACAAACTGGGATTAAACTATCTAATAATTTGATTCCAATAGTTTTAACTCACATGTCCATTTAATTAGGCAGGTAAATACGTTGGATCTTATTATACAAAAATGAATGAATCCTTTTTTTTCGAAAAATTGTTATCTCCACATTGATTTCTCAGTTTAAAGTCTAAATTAAATTGGATAGTTTAAGATAATGTTTTTATTCTGTCAGTTGGTTAAGTGATAGGCATTAAGTGGTACTTTGTACAGTACATAAACGAATATTATGTAATAATAAATCTTTTGAAATTCCATATGCCATGACTAGATGGTTAACCAGGTAAAGTTTGTTCAGATCTAAAAAAATTGATTGATTGATCTATAGATATTGTGCGGGGATGAGTTATACAGTTCATTCATAAAGTATGATAAATGATAAGTTATCAGTATACAGTTGTGGAGATTATTAAGATTTTGATTGAGTTCATAAACTGATTGATGTTAGACCACCATTGAAAACATGGAAGAACTGGATGGCCATTTCATCCTATTGAGGGACTCCTCACCAGTGCGTATCCAAGATCCCGCTCGCGGGATTCGAACCCAGGGCCTTCGGTTTCACGAGCGTGCGCCTAACTTCGCGTAAGAACGCTTAACCTCTAGATCACTGAACCCGCCTGGATGCAATGGTGTTAGTGTCCAGCATCAAACAATCCACGAAATCGCGTGACCATCTTCCATTGTACTGAGTTAGATACCGGTCTCTACCAGACAGGGAATAGCTCCACCGGTCACGGCTTCTCACTAGAATTCCGAGAATTCCCTCATGAAGGTAATCACTTGTAAGCACATGGTAATTATTATCAGTATGGGGTTGTGGAAATTATTAATTTTTTGATTGAGATCATGAACCGATTGATGTTACACCTCCGGTGCTTCCAGGTTTTCAATTGTGGTCTTTAAAATGTGTTGTTTTGTCAATCTATATGACATAATCAACAATTATTTATGTATATTGATAGTACACAGTTGAAAGTTACAAGTCTGAAAGACACTGGTGTTTTT